GTATCTAAAACACTAGTACTTGCCAAGAAAATGCAAGCCAGCACTCTGGCCAGGGTGGGCATGCTGCCCAGGCCATGGGCAATCTGTGGTGGGACGTCCCCGCTGCTTCCAGTGGGCCCGTACCGATGCATCCTGCCCACCCTGAAGTCATGAGAACCAAGAAGGCTTACCTTAGCAGCCTCCTGAGCCACCTTCACCAGCATGAAGAACTCATTCTGGATCCCAGGAAGGCAGATTCTCTCAAACACACTCTCTTGGGCCTGTGCGAGCATCATTCTGACCAGCACATTGAGCATGGCAGGGCTCATGTCATAGCTCGGTGTATGAGTAAACGTCTCTTTCAGGTGGTTTAAAACCCCTACAATTAGAAATTTTTTGCAAATTATTTGGGAGCCATATTTATTTCACCATGCTGCTCAGAAAGATAGAGAACTGACAGAAGCAAAAATCCTGGAGCATCTTCAAAAGTATGATTCTCAATTACCATAAGATCCAGCAATTCACTCCTAGGTACACACACTAAACACTGAGAGCAGGGACTGAAACGAGCAGTCAGGGACCCACGTCCGTGGCAGCACCTTCCACAACAGCCAAAAGGCAGAAACAGCAGAAATGCCCATTGATAAACTGACTGATACATGACATGCGGTATAAACATGCAATGGAATAATTTTAAGCCTTAAGAAGGAAGACAGTTCTGACACATGCTACAATATGGAAGAAGATACTATGCTAAGTGAAATAAGCCAATCACAAGGACAAACATTGATTCCACTGAGATGAGGTACTGAAACAGTCTGGAATTCGCAGAGATAAAGTGGAATGGTGTTTGCCGGGATTGCCGGGAGTTTGGGACGGGAGGGGCAGGGAGAGGGAAGGGAGAGTTACTGTTTAATAGCAGCAGGGTTTCACACTGGGGTGATGGGGAGAGTTACACAACAATGTGAATGTGCTTAATGCCAATGAACTCTTAGAAATGGTTAAAATGGTGATTTCATTATGTATCTTTTGCCACAGTTTAAAAAAAGATCTGACTGTCCTCCCAACACTTACATCTGTATCAGGAAAGGAAACCAGCCTGCTCCCAACCCTTCCTATCTCTCCTGGGACAATTGAGAAATTCCAAACACAGTCAGGCATCTGAGGCAGGCAGAGCAGAAAGCAGGCAGGGGGGATGAGTGCGGGGCTCTCAGCGGGGCAGGCTCACACTAACACGGAGGCATTCGGAAAAGTAGGGCTTTTCCCTAGGGCCTAGGGAAGATCAGCTCAGCTCATTCCGATAGAAATTTCCATGCTGTAGCCCTCGGCTGACTTTTTTTATGCTTTAGAAAATTAACTGTCACAACAGAAACAGACATCGACCTGCAGCTAAAATAAAATCTCCACCCTGAATCCCATCTGACTGGTTCCTCTGGTTTTGCCTCCAAGCACAGACTGCTTTGCAGCAGGACGGCAACTGCTGCAGGCTGTGTGCTCCTCTTGGGGTCTCTCCACTCCGTTCTCAAGCAGCATTCTGTCCAGGCCTCTAATCTCAGAGGCAGGTCACAAAGTTCAGCTGCTCAAGATTCCTCAGAATGCTGAGTCCAGGAAAGGGTTTACAGTGAAAGAAATCAATTCCTGCAGGGAATCAGCAAGTATGGTTCAGCCCAAGTATGCCAGACACGGGCCCTGCTGGAGGGGAGTAAGGCAGGACCCCTGGACACCCGTGAGCCATGTCAGGCCCGCCCACTGCACCAGGCCTCCCACCCCTGGTCCTCCTTACGTTGGAGCTAAGTGTCGTTTGACAAAGGGCTGAGAAGAGCAGCCTTATATAGGCAGGCTTCATAGAATCAATCAGCAAAATATAAAGGCATAAACAGTAATAGGCACTAGTAAGGCACACATAAGTTTTTAAAAAGCCTACTTTTTTACTACTCAGAAAAACATATTCTGTTCCTCAGTACAGTGTTCAAAGAAATGCTTCATTCACTACCATTCTTGAGGCCACTTGTTTGGAAAAGATTAATTGTTAACCACAGGATTCACTGTGTACACGAGCCATAACCCAGACCCAGACTGCGCCAACAGGGTTTAAACCAGTAAGTCATCCTCTTGGTGGGAAATTACGCCAGCACTAGAAACTGGCCTGGCCCCTTCAGGCCCAGGAGACCACGCATGAGCCTGGGACAGACCCATAGACTCACTGAAGTGGGGGCACCCAGTGCCCACTGACAGGGCCAGGACTCCACCCACCCCAGCAGCCCTCCCGGAGACACACCTGCGGCTCTCTGAAACGCGTCCACTGCGCTCTCCAGCCCAGCTCTCGTCTTCCGATTGCACCGGGCCCCAATCTGTGTGTAGAGGGCTCCAATGTTAAACAGAATGCTGGCCTTTTCCAGTAACAAGTTCTGTTGGCTGACTGGGACCCCAGTGAGGGAGTCATACCTATTTAGAAGAAATGTAATGTATTGTGAGAATACAGATTACTTGGCTAGTTAATGCCATTTGGGGGGTAAAAATTGATGAAAATTTATTTCTTGAATAAAATTCAAAGATGCACATGCAACAAGGCTTTCATTTCCAAACAAGATGATGGACCTCATCATACCGAAGACATCCACAACAACACACAAAAATAAGCGTTCACAACCAAGATGTCCTTCAGTAGGTGAATGGATTAAAAAGCTGTGGTACCTCCAGACAGTGGGATATTATTCAGCACTAAAAAGAAAACAGCTACTGAGCCATGATAAGACATGCAGGAACATCAAATGTATATTGCCAAGTGAAAGAAGCCAATCTGAAAAGGCTACATACTGTATGATTCCAACTATATGACATTCTAGAAAAGGCAAAACAATGGAGACAGAAAAAGAATCAGTGGTTACCAAGTTTCAGAGGGGAGAAGGGGAGGGACAAATAGGTAGAGCACACAGGAATTTTAGGGCAGTGAAACTACTCTGCACACTCTATTAGTAGATACTAGTCATTGTACATTACCAAGTCCATGTAGAATAGACAACACCAAGAGCGAACCCTACTGTCGACCATGGACTCAGGTGACAGTGTGCCCTCTGTGGCTGATGTGCCCTCTGGTGCGGGTGTTGACATTGGGGAAGGTTGTTGGTGTGGGGGGTAGGGGGTTTCCAAAAAATCTCTGCACCTTCCCTTCAATTTTGCTGTGAACCTGAAACTGCTCAAAAAATATAAGGCTTCCCCTAAATAAAATACAGCAATTACAAACCTTTCATAATTCTTGCTCGAGTCTAAAAGAGTCTGGACTTGTTTTAAAGTTCACACATCAACCAGCATGTAGACATGGAGCCTCTCCTTAATGCAAGACTTAGGTGAAACCACCTTTAGAACCCTGACCAGGGCAGGCCGCCATCTGCCTTTCCTTTCAAAAGGCGGGCGTCATAGGGGCCAGCTGTGGTGTAATTTAACTCTGAATATGATCCTTACTGTTGGGATTTAGCCTCCTCTCACCCACACTCACAGAGCAGGCAGAGCATCTCTAAAGTATTTAAACACTCATCTTTGAAAATGGCCCCAGTCAGGCCCCCCTGACTGGTGCAGCTCAGTGGATTGGGCATCGTCAAACTGCAAACCAAAAGGCAGCCAGTTCAATTCCTGGTCAGGGCACATGCGTGGGCTGCAGGTTTGGTCCCACGTTGGGGGCACACGAGAAGCAACTAATCGCTGTTTCCCTCGCACATCAATTTTTCCCTCCCTCCCCCTTTCTCCCTCTCTTCCCCTCTCTCTAAAAAATAAATAAATAAAATCTTTAAAAAAAATCAAGTCTGGCCCTGGCTGGGTAGCTCAGTTGGTTAGAACATTGTCTCAATATGCCAAAGTTACGTGTTTGATCCTAGGTCAGGGCACATGCAAGAATCAACCAACGAATGCATAAATAAGTGGAACCACAAATCGATGTTCCTCTCTCTAAAATCAGTAACGAAAGAAAATACCAACTCTGGAAAGAACTAAATACTCTGCTTTGTTTTTAATTTATTTCTGTTTGCAGCCTTGTCATTGGGACAAAACATGATTCCCTGCCCACCCCCCCCAATCTGGGGCAAGAATCTTGCTTCTTGTTAGTTCTGCCTCAGAGCCCTGATGATAAAATGAGCATGAAAAAAATGCCTCTTCTCTTCAGCTCACTTGTTCTGAGGAGCAAAAAGGCAAGGTCTGTTGGAGCCTGCTCCCCTTGGGTTCCCTTCACAAACACACACCAGTTTACCTACATGTCCCGTACAAAGGGAACAACTAGAAAGAGGGGCCTCACAGTGCAGAGGAGCCCGTGTGGCCGCGGTGGGGTAGCACCACACAGACCCCAGGCACCTACCAGGTAAACAAGATCCCCATCTGTCTGGTGGGCGGGAAGAACCGGCTCTCAACAAAGCCCAACTGGAGGAAATAACTCATCAGCAGCTCAACGCCGGCCTCATCCCTGCTGGGTGTCCGACAAGCCTGAAAGGAAAGGCACCACCCCGGGAGGGAGGGGGTGAGTACAGAGCAGTGCAGAGGAAGGCAGCAGGGGCTCACACAGTCTTTCTGTGGAGCTCGGGCCCTGCTACTGGTATCATGAACTCTGGGAGGGGTGGGAAGGGCTGGGATGAACTTGGGAGTCCCACATCCAGCCCCAGCTATGCCAGTGGGCAGGTCTCTTCCTTTCTGTGGACTTATGTGACAAGTGGAACAGATGAATAAACAGCCCTTCCTGATCACTTCCAAACACCTGCAATTCTATAAGATTTCAAGTGCAATCGTGAGATATTCTGAAGACTCAAGCTCCAGCCACCATCCTCCCCTCCCAGCTGCATGCAGAAACGTACTTGTCTCAGATCCATAAGATCTGCTATTTCCTCTTCATATAGGTAGCTATCTTCACCGTAATGTTCCAGAATAAAATCCTGTAAGAAAAATGGGATAAGATAAAATTGAGACAGAGTGTCATTCAAAACCATAATGAGGTAAAAGAGTAATGTCTAATGTGCTCCCTTTAAAAATACATGTACAACGTACTGTCTCTTAGTCCTGCTGCACCTGCACGTGGCTATAACTGCGCATGGCTATACCTGTGCATGGTGCCAGGGTCAGGCTGCAGGGCCAGAGCACGTGCTTGGGCATAACTGGGGCCTAATGCTCCCCGTCTCACCCCCTTTAACCCTTAGCCACATGGTGGCAAAAGGAAAAAAGAAAAGCAAAAACAGGAAAAAAATAAGTAAATAAAAATACATATAGAATACATAGAAACCTATGGAAGATTGTATATTGCAGTGATTTTCTGAGTGATGGGGTTTAGTTTCTTAACTGTGTTTATGTATATTTCACACGAGGCTATGTTTACTGATATTGGTGACAGAGGAAGGGAGAGAGACAGAAACATCCAGTGTGTGTCCCAGCCAGGAATCAAACCCACAACCCAGGTATATGCCCTAACCAGGAATCGAACCTGCAACCTTTTGGTGTATGAGAGGACCCTCCAACTGAGCCACCCAGTTTGATTCCCAGTCAGGGCACATGCCTAAGATGTGGGCCAGGTCCCACTTGGGAGTGTGTGAGAGGCAACCAATCGGTATGTCTGTCACACATTGATGCTTCTCTCCCTCTCTTTCTCACTCCCTTCCCCTCTCTATAATAATCAATAAATAATCTTTAAAAAGAAAAAGAGAAAAAAATATAATGGGAACAGTAAATTTCACAATAGCAACAAAAGCACAATATTTCTAGGGATAAAAATATGTAATTAAGCCAATAATTATTAAACTTTGTTGAAGGGCATTCATTAATTCATTCTTTCATTTAATTCATAAAATAATTTAAGTAAGACAGATGTGGACCCTGCCCCCACAAACGTGCTATTTGTTGACAGTACCAATTAAAAATATATTGATGGTTGAAAATGTGTAAAATTGAAAAGGTGAAATTTTGCCCAAATTAGGCTCTAATTCTAATAAAAATTTCAATTAAAACCCAAAAGTACTATTTTTGGAAAACTTCACAAAGTATGAAAGTAAAAATGTGGAAGAAAAGAACTTTTTGAAAAACATAATAATAAAGGAGGCTTGCTCTATTTAGTGCTAAAGCACACAAGGACTAAACAAACAGTGGAAATGGACAATGAAACCAGACATGGGTCTGGAACAGACTGAAGCAGATTTGAAAATCAGGTCTACAACTAAAGCCAGAACTCCACGGAGGTGGGAAAGGCTGATGCATCCAACAGGGCCAGGCAGAAGGAAGAGACACACACAAACGGTGTGACAGATGTGAGTTTCAGAAAAGGACCGTGATAGTGGTGTGGATGGTGTGGGACTTCAGAGCCATTAGAACCCCAGAGCTGAAGAGTCAAGCGGGGGAAGGAGCTTTGGAAACTGGAGAGGTGGCTGCCTGAGGTGAGTACTGAACAGCCACCATGACCTTCCCTGGGGGAATGCAAAAGGAAGCCAGCTGAGGGAGCCAGGAATAAGTGCCCAACTTCCCTCTCCTCCTACCCTTGCACATCCAGCTGGTGCTCCTCCTCCTTGGCCACACCCAAGAGGAAACCACAGAGCAGGAGCCTGTTGCTGCCTCTTGGCACAGAGCAGGATAGAGGATGATGGGATAGTGGGAGGTGGGGGGAAGGGGGAAGGAGACACCATCCAGCACCACAGATGGATTCTCTATACGTGGTTCAGGAGAAACTGGCTGCCTCCTTGGTGAAAATAAAAAGTTAAAGCCTTATACCTCACATTTTACTGCAAAACAAATTCTAGACAGATTAAAGATTTGATGTTAAAAATGCTTAAACAAAGGATTAGGAGAAACAATACCAAAATATTTATGACATCTTGCTGTAGAGAATGCCTTTCTGAAGATATCAGCAAGACAGAATTATAAAAGGAAGAACTGATAAGTTTAAAAATATAAAACCTACATGGAGAAAAAAATATATAAACTTTTTAAACTGGTTATTGCTTATGTAACAAAAGTCAAAGGAAAGAATGTACTGAGAGAAATATGTGCACTCCATATAACCAAGGGTTATTGTCCTTCACGAGTTAAGAAAAACTGCTCTAAGTAATACGAGCAACACTATGGAAGGACAGAAACAGTCATTTAGAACAGGAGAAATGTAAGAGGCACATAAACATATACGAGAATGTACTCAATTCTATTTCTGATCAAAAAACGCAAACTATATATAATAAAGTATCACTTTCCCCTGATTTCACAAAAATCAAAAAGACAGTTTTTTAAAAATGAAAATGATGAGTGATGCTGAGTGCAATCAAAGATGCAAGAAGATAAAACACAGGAAGGCAGAACCATTTCTGGTGGGAAATTAGATAATGTTGTTAGTATCTCTGACTTACCAAGTTCACATCCAGAAGTTTATCCAAAGGGAATATTCAGCAAAGTGTGCAAAAATGCTCAGTAGAGAGCTGCTGACAATAGCAAGTATTTGGCAGCTGCTTGTAGAAGGAAATTCACAGCTACCTTGTTTAGCAGGGAGGTGCACCATGCTGAGCCCCACTGAAGGCAGGAGCCACACACCCTTGTGAGGTGGTCCTCACCAGGGAAGAGCCTGGTGTCCAGAGAAGAAATGCTGAGCAAGTTACAGAGCTCAGCGGGAGAGGTGGTAGGTTGTGAGGGAACTACACACACCTTGGTATATTCTGAACATTTTGGAATACTGTTCTTAATCAGAAAAAAGAAATAAAGCTCTATTTAAAATTTAAAAAAAAACAACTTGAATTCTCTGGAAAGGGACTGTATTTTGATGATGCTTTCTAATGAGGCCATTTTTAAAGCCCACTTGTTTACAATAAAACCAAATCACATTGTGAGGCTTTATTGACTATTAAACGTCATACTGACACACTCATCAGATTTGAAGAACAATTGGAATTGCCCTAATTAAGTCAGCAAACTACTTCTGTAGCACCTGTCTGTTACTCGGAAGCACAAACATGGAAGGGAGAAAACAGAATGTCCCCAAGTGTTCTCATTTTTGTATGACTAACATTTGTAGAGTCTCTTTTAAGCTAAAATGACATGGTTGGAAGCCTCAGCTGAATAGCAGTTGGCCGTGCCCACAACACGTGACTTTTTTCACTGGCTTTAATGTGGAATTCAGCGCAAGACACGTTTGGAGCCTTGCAGACGCCCATAAAATCCCCAAGTTTCTCCAGGAGTTTCCCTTTAAAACGCATACACTAAAAAAAAAAAAGTGCCTACAAACTCTTGCAGCTCTGGTACCAAGCAACAAATTAAATCTTAAGAAAACTATTCTACAAAAGCAGCAAGGACATTTCCACAGACACAACTGAGTCTGAGTCTCACAAACCAGCGACAAGTATTGCATCTAAAAGTTCAAGTGGCCTGTGAAAAGCTGGCATAAAGCTGTGGTTCCTGGGTTGTTTTCTCCCCACATAATCCAGTCTCTGGTGATCCTGGTCCTACAAAACCACCAATGTCCTTCTCAAACTCCAGAGTAAACCCCAAACTCACAGAGACAGGCACCAAGATTTAAACAAGGTAGCAGCAAAAAGGCTCTGGGTGAAAGGGCTTATGTGAGGTAATTCACAGTCTCTGCTCCAGAATGGAAGTCAAGTGCAGAAGCTTTCAAAACATTAACCAATTGCTTGTTTGTTTTTTTTAATCCTACCCAAGGATTATGTATATTGCTTTTTGAGAAAGAGGAAGGTGGGGGTGGGAGAGAGAGGGAGAGAGGGAGAGAGGGAGAGAGACGGAGAGACAGACATCAGTTGGTTGCCTCCCATACTCATCCTGACCAGGGATTGAACCTGAAGCCGAGCTGTGTGCCCTCACCAGGAATCAAACCCACAACATTTTGGCACACAAGACGATGCTCCAACCAACTGAGCCACGGGGCCAGGGCTAACAGATTGCTTTTAAAATGAGAAATTCCACAGTGTCCAAAATGCCATATGATAATTTTTTTCTTTTCTAAACTAAAAGTAGTCCAAAATGAGTCAGTTAACAGGAGTGGTACAAAAAGAAACATAATTCTTTGAAGCATTTTTCGTGATGCTGGAATTAATTCCTATATACTATGCCTGTGCTGGAAAGCTCAGCCATGGGCACTGCCTTGCACCTGGTCTCCACTTTCTCCTCCTAAAGGGAAGTTCAAAGTGATTCATTAAAACTCACACTGAGGGCTCTAACCGGTGGAGCTCAGTTGGCTGGGTGTCGTGCTGTGAAGCAAAGCGGTGCTGGTTCAGTGCCTGCAGGCAAGGCATGTCCTGCTGCCTCCAAGCAGAGCACCTCTCCCACTTCCCACCTGAGCCCCACAGTGAACCAGGCAGGGCCTGTGATATCACCAGCATGCAGCTCAGTGACAGGCACAGGTGGGCCTCCAAGTATCAGCTTGAAGACACACACAGTTAGGAGGAAGCCAGATAGTGTGAAGAGGTGAACTGTATGGTATATAACTTATATCTCAGTAAAGCAATTATTAAAAAAAAAAAAAAAGAAAGAAAGAAAGAAGGAAGGGAAGGAGAAAGGGAGGGAAGATAGGAGAGAGCGGAGGCCAAATCCCCAGGAATTAGGTGGGGGAAAATCAACAACCATAAACTCTAGTTATTCAAGTATGTAAGGAGAGTGAACCAACACCTTTGATTTACCTTGAAATGTCTAAAAAAATAAGATGGGTTGGCCCTGGCCAATAGCTTTTGGTTGGTTAGAACACCAACCTGATATACCGAGGCTGCGGGCTTGATCCCCCGCACCCCACCTGGTCCGGGCACACGCAAGAAGCAATCAATGAACACATACAAAGTGGAACAACAAATCTATGTTTCTGCTTCTCTCTCTCCCCCTCCTCTCTCTCTAAAATCAATTCTTTAAAAAAAGATGGATTAATATATAGACATAGGGACGCAGAGATGGGTAAGTATGTGATAAAGTGACCACAGTAAAGTGTTCATGGTACAATCTAGGTAGAGAATATATAGGAGTTTGCTATAAAATTCTTTCAATGTTCTTTTCTGTAAGTTTGGACATTTTCATAAAATTTTTAGGAAAAAATTTAGCCATTCTTCCAAAAATATGGCCTACTTCAGTTTAAAAATTTAAGAAAAAAAGATACTAAAATAGGATACAATTTTTAAATTCCAAGGCATGTCCACCACAGACCCCCTTTGCCCTGGCCACCAGGGGCGGGCTGGTGGGGGC